TGTCAAAAATCCCTTTATTAGGAAAATGGCAAATTTCTTTATTAATGCAAAGGTGACTTGGTTTATCGTTACTGTGACAAACGAAAACACTTTATTTGATGAATCCTTAAAGAAAATTTTAATTAATATCAATCAGGAGAAAAGTTATTGCAAAAATATATGTTGATCCCTAGACACTTTTGATGTGTGTATTTCTATATAAATAAACTTATATATCTATTCTATCTATTACCCTAGCATCCCATAACACAAGCTTTACAGTGCTTATTTTGAGGCTAGGCTAATTGGGTGGTAATTATTTTATATTTACAATATTTAGGGAATCATTGTTATGGAACATAATAGAAACTAAAGTAAAACCTAATGTGGAAGGAGGATTTGATAAATTTGATCGGGTATCTTTTAATTGCATGAAAAACTACGCTTGTTCCCTTTTCTTGTTCACCTTTGCGGTGTTGATGAGTATTATTATTAACACGATTATCTTTGGTTTCCTGATTGGCTCCAGACTTTTTTTTGCTTAACAATAATAGATGATATATATGAAAATGGTTCTAAAACCCTCTGTCCTTCAGTGAATCTCTTGTCTATATTGTAGGTCAGCGTGCATGCATATAATACAATAGTTGTCTCTTATTACCAAAAACAGTAATTATGATTATAAGACCTACTTTTTTATGTCGATTGAACTTGTAAATAAATACATATTGTAGGTCTTTTTCCAGCTGTGGCTGATCATGACGTAGGTATATATTGGTTTTATTGTCATTAGCAGCACCGTAAAGCTAGTTAACTGAAGCATTCTACATCTATCTTCCGCGCCTAGTTCAGAAGGCAAGGCAAGTAAATAAATAATAACCAACTTCTTTCATTTCCTTACCAATCAATGTAGCATATCATGACGTAATAAAATGGAATGAGTCGCTAGACCACCTAGATTTTTTAAACGAGTCTCTAAAGTTTCATGTAAGTAAGGACATATATTCAAAGGAGTTGAGCTTTCGCTTATGGGCGAGTGCCAATTTTTATACCGGCCTAGAAATGATTAGGAAATACACGTGTGTCGCCAATTACTACGAAAGGAGTCGGGTTGTCTTGCAACTTGAAACTACATTGACAATTTGTTACGGCACGCCCCTTAATAGTTGAACTTTGTCTTAATTGAAATACAACTGTAAAGGTTAACATTAATGTCAATATAAGCAAACCTGCATTGAGCTTTATGTTACAGGATATCAAAAATGGCATACTGCTTTTAATATCTTACTAGTGGTCGTCACTTCATCGGCTAAAAACAAAAGATTTTCCATACATAATTTCATCCCATATTTTACTATATATCACGAAAAAAATTCCAGACAAAAACAAATAATTTCCATTCAGCAGTTTAGATGTGTTCAACAAATTGTAAGCATAAAACAACACTTTTTAATTATGTGTTTTCCCCTACCATGTGTTTGATTTATTATAATTTCAGCATGCTTAGCTTATCTATAATATAAAAATAAATCGCTGAATGTGTTGCTAAGCGCAAATCTCGAGAACAGCTCAACTGATTTCGATAATTCTTTTTTTAGAATATTCATAGAAACACGAGGATGGTTCTTAAGCAGAGAAAATTTTAAAAAATTGATTGAATATATCCAAAAACAACAATTTTCTATACTCCCATACAAACGATTCGTAATAATACTTAGAAGTTAATTTGAACTTTAATAACACACCATAAATTTCAAATGTTAGTGGAGAGGTTCCGGGAAGGCAATACAATTAAGCGACGTGATGTCAATAGAAGTTTGGAAAAGGAAAATATACCATTTCCAGTTTTTTTTTATAATTATATAAAGAGTCATTTTAGTTTACACTACAGCTACACCGAAGCGAAGCGATGGCGGGCCACTAGTGTATAATAATGAAGACAAATTTATCAGCAGTCGCAACGTTTTTAAAATGAAAAGGAATCAATTTTTCTTTCGTCGTCCATTGTTTTAGTGGTGACAGCAAGGACCTCGACTCTAGACTACTTTGCAGACATGCGTTCGTGCGCCGCTTCGAATAATGGCAGGGTGCGGCCCGCACACATTCATAGTCGCTATTTCACCATTACAGGGTTAACATACTGGCAAATAATTGATGATTTATAAAAATTAATAGAGAAAATAAAAAAACATGATGGCTCTGCCAAAAAAAAACTTTTAAGTCAGAAACTAGTTCAAAAGTCATTTCTGGTGGGGAACCGTCCCGTGGAATAATTTACTCAATCTGAGTTTTATTATATTATATCATATCTATATATATAAAAATTAATTGCTGTTCGTTAGTCTCGCTAAAACTCGACAACGGCTGAAAGGATTTATCTTATCTTGGTCTTGAAATGTTCGTGGAGGTCTAGGGAAGGTTTAAAAGGTGAGAAAAATGATTATATAAAGAAATTCAGTGTATAATACAAGCCTGTGAGCAAAAACCATAATCTACCTACACTACAGCTCTACACCGAAGCGAAGCGAGGGCAGGCCATTAGTTATTGATATTTTATGGATTTATTAAACTGGTAGATTTATGAATGTAGCTTTGGAATGTGTTCATAATGAAATTCAATTTGATGACCACATTGTAATGATAAAAAATTTCAAAACTAGAGGAGTAAAATCAGCGTATATCAATCAGCAGCTTGGCCTTCTTGTTTTTTTTAATTCATGACCATTCATCACTGGTGGTGATTTTAGGATACTAAGAATACCTACTATAAAGATCAAAATATTTTAGACAGTTTTGGTGGATGAAAGAAAAGCACAAAGACACATACACATAACATACACAAACCCTGAAAACAGTAGGTACTTGGCAATTGTGTAATGCCGGCTCTCCACATGACTATTCGTATTTGCTATTTGTGAACTTGACAACCGTCTCGTTTTCGTTCCTTATAATAGAGTATGAGAAGGACCACTTTGCTGTAACAATAATAAATATCAAATACGTATAGCCGTGAAATGCTAGCATAGCAAGCAATAACTTGCCAAAAGTGTTACAAACTTATCTCTCTTAAAGTACCAGATAATAATTGTTAGATTCTAACTAAACAGTATCAAACTTAAATACTATTTTATTGTTATTTTATTTGTTTATTTATTCTAATTGCTATAGCTTATATTAGTGAATAGGTATGTTAATTTTAAAAACTGTAGAGTTGGTTGACAGCTTTTGCGTTTTTGCGTCTAGCGTGTACGTCGCATGTTGTCAGTACCAAATAACTATGTGAACATAAGATATCTATTTAATTTAAAATTACTTTTTTAAATCTTGTCAAAAAAAAAGGGCGACCAACTGTTAAAATATATTGTTTTTGAAAGCTGGTGCAAAAATTGGTGACGATGATTATTATGTAATATGTTTGGCTAAAACTAAAACAAAAAGCGCATCGGGAGACGCAGCGTAGGTAGGCCCCCACAAGCTGGACCGATTGGTTTGAAATTCCTTGGGGAAGGCCTATGTCCAACAATGGGCATCTCTCGGCTGATATGATGAAAATAAAGAGAAATGACTAAAATAAAAAGCAATCTCAAGAAATTGAAATAAACAAAGTTTTCCTACTTCAGTTACACATGAATAAGAGATAATTATTTTGTTTTATTGGCAATCATTTTAAAATTGCTTTGAAGATTTATTCACATCTCATCAGCTCATACATAGGCATTGTAATCTCTTTAATGATTTCTCATCAAAAATATTTTATTTTAAACTTCCAAAGTCACTAACATTATAGTAATGTATATGATATTTCGGCACCGTTGCCAGGGGCATGATGACGGAGTAACAGTTAGTCTGTGGTAACCATCTCGTAAATAACATAAATTACTATAAAAATTGTTTAATAACAATATAGAGTGGCAGGTGGCAGCCCTGTTTGAGCCAATTGCGCTTGCAGGCTGCTGTTCTCAACGGACATTATGTATATCGGATGAATGTTTACGAGCACATGTGACCTACTTTGGAGTAAGTAGAATTGTATCAAAGCTCTATGCTTATGGTATCATAACTATTAAATATCTTAAAGTAAACAGTGTCAAGGGGGTTAAGTGGCATTTTGAATTTATGATTGTGGACCATAGTGAATATTAATTTATATCTGTATAATAACAGGACTACGCCTTAGAAAATACGACATGAGAATCACTAGCTTACCTTATTTTTAAAAATGTTGATCACATGATTACTTATCGAAATGGAGACTTAATGTTATACCTTATATAAATTCAGTCTTCAATGTATTCAATCAGATGATGATTATACATATAATATATCTTGAAGTCGTGTGTTGGCAAGATGGCAGAGCAAAAGTATGACAGGTTATTAACCCATCATCTTGGCTGTCGGGCAATATTTAATTTACTTTTTTATATTAAATAATTAAATATTTCTAACACTCACACTAATTGGCCTAGCCATAAAGTAGGTAAGCACTGTAAGGCTTGTAAGGGTATAAAATACATATACTGCTACATATGTATTTATGGTCGTAAACATAACATCCGTGCCTAAGGTTCAAATGCTGGTATACATCATACAAACATTGACACCATTGGGATTCGAACGCGAGACCTCTGAGTCGGCGGCCTGAAACCTGGAGTACATACTACTATACTACATTGACGTACCTACTAAAAAGGATTTATCTTAAGATTTTTTTTTCATCAATAACCCACACACTTATATTTGTGCCATGGTATGAACTATTAAACGACTTCAAGAAAGGAGGTTCTCAATTCGTCAGTAGTTTTTTCAATATTTTTCATTTATAATTTTTTCAACATCTTACAAGTAAATATAGGTTCTCCTCAATTAAAAACAGTAGGTACACATATTGTGTTTGGTAGATATAAGAATGCTTAGTCAGTTGATTTTGCTTAGATTTTATAGTCTAAAATAATTTTGTTAAATTAAATATTATTAATTAAAAAAATAAAAACAAAATTCATGAAAACAAAATAGTACCTAGTTAAGGATTGTTTTTTTATTATCTTTCAATTTAATCGTTGTCATGCCAACACACTTAATTATGTTTTTACTATTTAACGGTAGTCGGTAGGCTTCTGTAATTTATTGAATAATAAATTGTGGATACTCCTTTTCTCCTTTCTGTCTTCACAATATTTCATGTGCATCAAAAAGTATCAAAGGTGCTATTACATAGAATAAAAGAAATCACACAAATTTCGGTTCTCCTTATTTATTACCTTAGCTTTAACATTAACATACAACAATAGGTACATAAATACATAAATTACATCAACGTGGTTCAAGTCACACAAACGAACGAAATGTTTCAGCTTACACGGACTCAGATTTGCGTTTTGACATCCATACACCCACTACCACGCCAACTGCTAAAAATTACTTTTCCCCTTTTCATGTTAAAAATCTTCGACTGACATTCTTATCCCATTACGTTTCGAGTACAAAAGGAATAGAGATCCTCTTCTATTACCTGTCTGTTCTTATTTTAAAAAGGTCCGGGTAAGCTGTTGTTGGTAGGGACGTTGCGACTAGTGGAGGTATGCAGGTGCGGCTACGGCTTTGACGACGCCACCAACGGGTTCCTTGTGGACTACAGCATTGAATCCGTTGTGGGGGTCGGCGGTGTACTCGACCACGCGCCTCGTGCCGTCGGGCTCAACCAAAGAGTAGGAGCCCTGTACCACGTCACCGGAGCGGCTCTCCTGTTGGCTCTTCGAGTCACCTGCAATGTCATAAAATATGACTTTTACGCTTGTAAAAAAAAAATATGTACATGAAACCTTGACATTGTGCCCTTTTATTTGATATACATATAGTACGGTTAGCTTAATGTTTGAATTACAGACAGATGCATGTACAACTTGATCTTGATCGGTCCAGGAGATTCCGATCAAATCGACTGTGACAGAGAGACAACCGAGTACATATATTTATACGAATAAGGATTCAGTTGTTGCCTATTTAGCTACGGATGTCTAAGCATTGATATACAATAACATCGCATACACTGTTATAATCCCAATCCAAGTTAATTTGTAAAATACTTATCGAAATTGGAAATAATGGAGATTACTATGCAGATACACGATAATACAATACAATTCGAAAGAATTTATTGTACACCACAGACAATATTACATTTAGTACAAAACCAATTAAGATTAGTGTAACAATGGGCGGTCTTATCGCTAAGCGCGATCTCTTTTAGACAACCTTTAGATGGAGAGGACTAGAAGGAAGTGGGAGAGACAACGCGTAAATCACTTTAGTGATACAGGTAATAATAATACTTTCATATAAATATATAATATAAAAATATTAGTTTTCAACTTGACCCGCATGTGAATCAAACTAGGAAGTAGATTAGTAGACCTCAGAGAACTCTGGTTTAGTTCTTCAAGTGAACATTTTTCTTGTACATGTTTAGGTTATTTTCGTAAGTATCTCAGAATGTCGGATGTCGATTTCATCATCCATCTCAGCCGTACGACGCCCACTGCTGACCATTCGACTTACAGTTAAATAATACGTACTTATTAAGAATTGGGGTCGTACTCTTCCTCGGAGGCACCCGCTCTTGGGTGATTTCTGGAGCAACGACATACGGGACTGCCAGCGCTGGCATGGCGTCCTCTCCTCATAGCAGATTTTGGTGCGAGTAGATTACTACTAATTTGTACCGCTGTATTTTTAAAGAATTTATGGTTTCAATGGACTTACCGGTCAAAGCACCTTGAATATTGTACGCATATGAATACTGAGGATTGGAGTCGTACTCTTGCACGGGGGCAGCTACATTAGCAATGGCGGGACCGACGACATACGGGACTGCAATCGCTAGCTTGGCAGCTTAGTCTATTACAAATTGTGCTATATGTGTCGAGTGGCACATGCACCAAAATTGTACGGCTGTAGGTATTCTTAAAGAATTATAGGTACTGTTTCAATGCTCTTACCGGTCAAAGCATCCTGAATATCATACGCGTACGAATATTGAGGATTGGGGTCGTACTCTTCCACAGGAGCAGCTACTTTGGCGATGGCGGGACCAACGGCGTACGGAGCCGCGTACGCTGGCCTGGCCACCAGGGGCGCCGCTATGCCGTAGGGCCGCGTGTACGCCAGGGGAGCATGTCCGTATGGAGACGCTATAGGCACTACGCCAGCAGCGCTCCTGCACGCCACTAATACTGCAGCCAGGATTACGACCTAAAAGAGGACCTTATGAAATATATAGACGAATATGTTAGACTACGCCTGCTTGTCAGAAACGTATCTTGCCCATGAAGCACCCCTATGTGCTGGTCTGTTAAACTGTGTTTGTTACATTTGCAAGTTTGCCACATGCAAAACAGATTTAGTTCATCATTGCCCTCGCTTTATTGAACGAACTGAAAATAGTGGATTGGTCCCAATCCACAACATTTGTGACTCCGAACAGTTTCGTGCCAGCGGCGAGACGCAGGAGCAAATATGCAATAATTTTCTAGTGACCTCTAGCAACCGCTCGCTCGGTTAAAATGGAATGGGACGACTGGCGCTCAGCGCCTCCTCACATTTGCGCCCGTGTGTAGCACACACCCAACACCACCCCTACAGTATAGATAAAGCCGCCTCTGGTGCCTGCAGGCGTAAGAGGCAACATTGCATTCGTTTTCTGAAGAATAAACTAATACCGGATTCATCGCCACATAAACGTGGGGCAATGGGTTCTCTTTTTCTGGAATCGCGCTTAATTCTGATCTAGCACTCGGTGATAATAATTGCACTCAAAGTTTATTTTATTCTGAAAAATTGCATAGTAAAGACTAATTTAAAAATACCATATAATTTGTAATCTAACATAATAATCCTACTGAAAAATTAAATTAATTGATTAATTTTTTTTAAAATGTGAGCTATTTATTCCAGAATCAAAATTTTCACCTGAACAGTTACAACATATTGTTACAAAATTTTCGGCTTTAGCTCCTAATATCAAATTTCTTGATAATAAATCACTCTGTCTCCTAGGTTCCCCGATTTTTGATAATGCTATTCCTATTTTTATTAATGAGCAAATTTGTTTCAAAATTCCAGCATTCCCCTGAATTTTTTTTGAAAATTAACCCGCACATGGTTTTATATTTAATTCGTTTTTGCGCTTTCGCCCCAAAATTTATATATTTTTTACGAAGCACTCATTTTTGGCTTTTTCCATGGCAGCTGTCAATTTATTGGCAATTCCCTCAGAGAGACACTGTCCAAAATTTTAAACTGTTCATTTTCCAATAACGCTTGGAAGCAGGCCTCTCTCCCTGTTCGTTTTGGAGGTCTAGGTACTCGTAGTATTTCCCATATAGTCCTTCCCGCTTTTCTGTCTTCTGCATAATGGTACAGCCGAGCTCTTTAATAAAATACTATGCTCTTCTTTGAGCGTAGTGGAGTTGGCTCACCTTGCAGAGGCCAGAAGCGCTTGGTCTAGGTCATGCTCGGGAGTGGATCCACCAACCTCTCTCTCTTCTCAGAGACAGCGGGATGAGCCACTCTGTTCGCTTTTTCAGAGTGATCTTTTCGCTTCTTCTGAAAATCTAAGCGTGCTCGACTTCTTGCGGTCTTTCAGGCAGAGTCTGGTTACTGGCTACAAGCTTTACCTTCAGCCAATATCGGGACTTTGCTTGACAAGAGCACTCTATCTCTGGCAATATCGCTTCGACTTGGTGTCAAGACGAATCACCCCCATCGTTGTCGTTGCGGAACTCGCGTCGTTGAGTTGGGACACCATGGTCTCTCATGCCAAATGAGCGCTGGCCGAGTCTCCCACCACGCCTGCATCAATGACGTCATCCGCAGAGCTCTTGTCGCAGTCAATGTGCCGGCGATCCTTGAACCTAGCGGCATCTTTCGTGACGATGGCAAGAGACCTGACGGAATGACGCTCATTCCTTGGAAGCAGTGTCGCCCTCTTGTGTGGGACGCAACTTGCGCGGATACGTTTGCTCCTTGTCACACAGGGAGCGCTGCGTGTGCGGCGGCGGCCTCTGCTGAGTGCTCCAAACGGCGCGAATAAACTATGTATTTGTGCCATTTGGTGTTGAGACCATGGGCTCATGGGGTCCAAGCGCTCGTTCCTTTTTTAAGGAAATATCAAAGACTCACCGAAGTTACTGGTGACCAAAAGGCTGGCAGCTATCTTGGTCAACGGATCAGCCTTGCCATTCAACGTGGCAATGCTGCCAGCCTATTGGGCGCCATTTCTGACGGCGGCGCTGGGGGTGACTTATTTTTTATTTTGAAAATAAGATGTTATTTGTAAGTAAGTTAGGGTAATTTGTATTTAAAATATATTAGGTACTTTTTAAGTTGTAGTTATTGTATTTCTATTGTAATTCTGTAAATAAAACACTAAATCCTACTGATATTATAAATGTGAATTTTTTTAATTTTTGTATGTTTGTCACTCAATCACTCAAAAACTACTGAACGGATTTGGATGAAATTTAGTACTATATCGTTTATGATCTGGATTGAGATATAGGATACTTTCTATTCAAGATAATATTAGGTTCCTGTGGAATTGTCGGAAAACTAAAGATAACGCGAACGAAGTCATGAGCGGCCGCTCTGGTATCCTACTAATATTATAAATCTGAAAGTTTGTACATTTGTTACTCATTCACGCAAAAACTACTGAACGGATTTCGATGAAATTTGGTACGTACATAGTTTATGACCTGGATTGAGACATAGGATACTTTTAATTCTGGAACATTTTTAGGTTCCTGAGGGATTTTCAAAAAACTAATGTAATGCGGGCGAAGTCGCGGAGGGCCGCTATTTAATATAAACAAATAAAAAAGTATAAAACATCAAATCCATTAAGAGAAAGAGAAGAAAAGAAATAGAAAAGAAAAATTTATTTAATAGAATTTCTATTCAAATTATCAAAAAATATTGATTTTGCACGAAAATCTGAAAGTAGGTATCGAATCATTATGATTCGGTAAAGATAATAGGTATCTACTATTTAATAAACACTGTTATGTTATATCACATTTTCGCGGGAAAATCAGAACCATTTACCCTGGTTTGGAAAACTTATAAAATATTGCTTTTACTCCTTCTTTAACTTTTTTTATATCTTATCTCTCATTTTTATCTAACATTTTTAGTATTATGGAGTTTCTGATTTTATTTACCTTCATGTTGAACCTGCGGTGGACGCCTCGAGAGCTGTGAATACTGTGGGGTGCACACGCATCGCTTTTATACGAGTGCGTGGTGCACAAAACATGCGCAGGCACAGGACCCGCCTTAGAAAATCGGTGATTAGTCACGGCCGGCCCTACAACTGCCCTGTTACCTACTTCATAAAGATTTAATTTGTTAGAGCCTTGGTATATCAACATAGTTGTATGCTGCCTTTGAAACTACATAATAGATGAATCAAATAAACAGAATCTTTGTCACTTTCCGAAATAAAGCTTTTGCTCAATCATATTATAATTAATTTCAGTTTCCAATTTGTTGGTAACTCACAAAATTATTCATTACTATGCCTCCAGTGCTGTGGATGACAGCACTGGAGACAACTCTTGTACTGGTTGGCCAAATATCCCTCGGATGAACTATTTTTATGGAGTGTAGAGACAAACATGTGTCTGTGATTGAGGCGTTACTAGATCTTGATATTTAGAATTGAGGAGCTGGCGAACAAAACGGTATAATTACGCATCTGGTCAAACTACTTTTTTTTACAGTCCGGAGGTTTCGGGCCCGCTGAATTTGAATATCAAATAATTTTCAATCAAAACCGGCTAAAACAGTTTTTAAATTACTAAATTTCCAAATTAAAAACCATGCCAAAAGCTCACTAGGTATGTCGTTTAGTTTTATACAGTTCCTGTAAAATTTAATTTTATGTAATAATACCGTTTTATTCGCCTGCTCCTAAATTTTGATTGAGCCCCAATTAGAGGTAACCCCCCAATTTACTAGTCTCAAGCCGACAAAATTTAGTCCGATTTAATCCGACAAAGACACAAGTGTGTAAGTACACCACGAAAAAATCCCCATTTGTATCACCACCTTATTTCCAGAACATCCCCTTCTACATCTCTTAAAACATTGAAATTCTAGCTGTCGACATTTCGAGTGAAGTTTAATTCCGAGATCATTTGGAAGGTATAGCTAAACCAGCTTCCAAAAAACTTGGGGTACTGTATCCAGGGAGAAAGTACTTCAAGCCTAAACACCGGTTGATAATACTAGTCTTACGCTGACAAAATTTAGTCGGATGTAACCCGTCAAATACACTAGTGTGTACGTTCCCCGCGAAAAACACCCCATTTGTAGCAGCACCTTATTATGCAGCACCGTATGAGTGGTACCCTTGTTGCTGTAGGTGCCCACGGGTGACAATGGACACTTTCCATCTGCTCATTTGCCTACATAAACATAAAAAACTGGGTCTTATTCTTAATAAGAGGTGCTCTTGCACCTTGATGTTTTTATAATAATTAAATAAAATGTTTTTTTTATAGATAGTTCCGGCAACTGACCACCCCACCTGATGTTAAGTGAAGGTGAAGTCCAGACGTGAAGATAGCTGATACATCAGTTTTAACTGATGACAGCCATCCTCACCCTGCCGGCCTGCATGTTGCTTCTTCACGGCTCTTTTAAATGATCCCAGGTTGTAAGAGGGAGAGTACACGTTAGCGGGCAGAGCATTCCATTTATGGATAGTGCGACGAAGATATGAGTCACCAAATTTCTTTGTACGCGTTGGAATTGTGGCCACAGTTAGACGGTGACAACGTAGCCTAACGCAAGTGGTCCTCTGAAGGAAAGGGGAAGGTGGAATAAGAAAGAATAACTCCTAAAAACACTCGCCGTGGTACAGACGATAGAACGCGCTTAGTGATGCCACGTCACGGCGTAATTGAAGAGGCTCGAGGTGTTTAGTCACCTCCTCATCGCCTATGATGGGGATCGCGCGCCGCTGTAACCTATCCAAAGCATCGAGAAAGTACGTGGCGGAGCCATCAAAGAGATGCGAGCAATATTCCACGCAGGACCGCAGTTGCGTTTTGTACAACAAGCACAATTGATCGGGCGTGAAAAAACGCCGCGCCTTGTTCAGGACTCCGAGATTCCGTGAAACTGTTTTGATTACGGTTTCGATTCAGGTCTGAGCAAACTTCCATACCGAGCATGGTAATATTGCTCTGTAGCGCCAGTGTTGTGCCCTCAAGAGAGGGAAGGGGAAGGAATGGCGATATATTTACCGTGAAAGCGCAAGCCTGAGTTTTCTTGGCATTGAACTCAACCAAGTTCCTGGTACCCCATTCGGAAATGTGGTCCAAATCCTGATTGAGTTCAATGACAAGATTCTTCTGTTTCTCCTTGGTTACCGCCTGCCCAGCCGCTGCTTGTCCGAGATACCCCGCATGCACTGTACTATCGTCTGCATAGCAATAAATATTATTTATTATGTTGCTAAAATAAACAAAAATATATAAAATGTAGGTATAATAGACCCACTTACATAATGAGTAGAGAAATATTACAGAAAGTCATATTATCTAAGTGCATGCGAGTGTAAAAATGAAGAAATGAATCCTGCCTGATGCCTCGAGGCAGTTTATACACTTAACACTATAAAAGTTTTCGATAAAAATTTTGCTCGCGAATGAATCAATTATCTTAAAATACAACATAGCATTATAGCTTAGTGTGTGTGTATGTGACAGAGGTTTTTGGGTCACAGCTGCACGTTATCAGGCCGTGTGTGATAGTAGTCTAGTCCCAACTAGGTACATAGATTCTATAATAAATTTCAGAATAGCCCAACCCATACTTGAACTCACTGATGTAATCGCTTTGCTGGTTGCTGCGATCTTTAAACCTTTATAAAATCCAATTGTAATAAAAATTGGAAAAGATTTAGTAGTTACGAAGGTACCTAATATTTTGACGAGCTGTGTAATTATAAGTATATATTTAGTTCGTTAGTTAGTGTTTACTTTAGTAAAATAATTCGCTTCAGAAATTTTACAAAACTATAAAATGATTCAATAAATACAAATAAGCACACATTTCACGCTAAGCCATAAATATATACGACAGCTCTCTTAAAAAATAACAATCCCCAACAAAAAAGAACTTGCTTACAAAGCAAAAGACTAAAATGTTAAAAACTTAAAACTTCGTTAACAATTAAATAAAAAAAAAATTAAACAAAAAATAAAACCTACTTCAAAGTCGAAAATGGAACTAAAAAGTAAAAAATAATATCTGGTTCATAATTTGGAAGTTGGGCGGGGTCAAGATTGAAACATCAGATTTTCGTTTCTGATCTGTAATAATACGTCTTTCAATCTTGACCCGCCCGACTTCCAAATCATAAAATAGATATTATTTTGACGTGACAACGTCTTAAATTAGGTTGCGGCTGGGAGTCACTTATGAAAAAGTGTAACGCTCGGTAACGTTACGATGAGTCTCTCGTGTTAAGTTTAAGTTTACATGTACAATGTTTTAGTAAACAAAATATATTTCTATAGTTAAAATTTGTGCAATTCTTATTTTCATTCAATTCCTTGTTCCTATTGTGCAATTTAATTATATTCATATCAATAAATATTCTACCGAGAAAAAGACGTTGTCACGTAAAATCTTCGCCCGTAAAACCGACTTTACAGGCAACCATTTTTTTACTTTTTATTTCCATTTTCGATTTTGAAGTCGGTTTTATTTTTTGTTTTAAAATAAAATTATTTCATCCATTTTAGTGAAAATTACATCGTCCAAGTATACAATAACACAATAGATGGAGGAATCGGTGAACATGCATAAAAAAACATCGTGCGTGCCTTTAAAAATTTGAAGGGTTCCCTCGATTTCCCCGAATTCCAGCATCAGATCTAGATTCCAATGGGACCACCTCGGTAGTATACTCTTTCGAATAAAAATAATTTTGGAAATCGGCCCACAACTGACGGAGAAATCGGTGAACTTACATTAAAAAAAATGGATGCTTGTAACTTATGTACGCGCGTGAGAAGTTATACTTCTTTAGCATCATTAAAATATTTTTTAATTGCATGCAAATAATTAATAATTACAATAAAATAATAAGAGGACTGGAAAAGGATAGTTAACACAGTCAATTAAGTTCAGTTTTAATTTGAAAAATTAAAAAAATATTCAAAATATTCAATTAAAATCACTACTGAATTTAAGTTATTAGTCCATATGTAATTAGCACTTGTAAGTAACTAAAACACGTTGTGTTCTTGACCTTCACAAGTGCTTGTAACAGCCTAGACTGAATAAATTTCATTTCATTTCATTTCATTTCACTTCATTTCACTTCATTTCACTTCATTTCACTTCATTTCACTTCATTTCACTTCATTTCACTTCATTTCACTTCATTTCACTTCATTTCACTTCATTTCACTTCATTTCACTTCATTTCACTTCATTTCACTTCATTTCACTTCATTTCACTTCATTTCACTTCATTTCACTTCATTTCACTTCATTTCACTTCATTTCACTTCATTTCACTTCATTTCACTTCATTTCACTTCATTTCACTTCATTTCACTTCATTTCACTTCATTTCACTTCATTTCACTTCATTTCACTTCATTTCACTTCATTTCACTTCATTTCACTTCATTTCACTTCATTTCACTTCATTTCACATCATTTCACTTCATTTCACTTCATTTCACTTCATTTCACTTCATTTCACTTCATTTCACTTCATTTCACTTCATTTCACTTCATTTCACTTCATTTCACTTCATTTCACTTCATTTCACTTCATTTCACTTCATTTCACTTCATTTCACTTCATTTCACTTCATTTCACTTCATTTCACTTCATTTCACTTCATTTCACTTCATTTCACTTCATTTCACTTCATTTCACTTCATTTCATTTCAATGTCCCGTTCAAATCTGCCCTGTTTGCTTTGTTCAAATCTGCCCCACGGTCACTTGGAAAATAAAATATTACAAATAACGCGCCCGCGGCTAACTTCATTATGTTAAAATTTTGTGTTACAGTGATGAAAATTTCACTCTCATAATTTTTTCATAACGCGGCTAAAGAAGTATAACTTCAAAAAATATACAGTCGAACACAGAACCTCCTCCTCTTTTGAAGTCGGTTAAAAATAAATCGTCTCCTTTCATACCATAACACCCCGTGAAAATTATTTTATTGAATAAAATTAAATATTAATCTATTGAACTTTTAAGTACCTATATATTCGGCTTTGGGCAAGAATTCTAAATAAACATTTCATTTCTGTAACTTATTCCGTTTGCGATCTAGAGACCCGTGCCGTGACACGCGAACAGACACACGATAGAGTGACAGTAATAGGGTTCCGTTTTTACCCTTGGGGTACGGAACCCTAAAAAATATGAAAAGTGGACAGAGGCGAGTTTGCTTTTGAAACCCT